GGATAAGAAAGCTTGCCTGGTAAAACTATATAAATTCAAGAAATGACATACAAAATTTGTGCCATCTGCACTGAACAATATGGATCATTACTTGTGCTCTCTTTTAGGGTTGCAAGTAGGGAGACTCTCATAGGTGGTAGATTCTAAAATATGTGTGCAGAGGGCAGTTCAGGAGTATACACTCTTCCTCTGGAGCCTGAGAAGACAAAACTAAACAAAATGAACTGGGCTCTGTTACTGAAATGTAGATGCTGGCAACATGAGGTCATATCAAACCCTCTAAGACAGTATGTGTGTCAGATATTTATTTTAGAGTCTGGAATGTTTGAAGGAATTTAAAATTATACTTTGTTCAAATAATTTTTAAATTTATTTTCAGATTATGATTTACCATTTTAGAAAGCCTGGAAGTTAATCACTCACCAGAGAACACAGTATCTCATAGTGGTTGACACGGGAGATTCTATACTCAAATATCTGGGTTCAAAAGCTTCCTGTGGTTTATTAGCGGTGTAATTTAGAGCAAGTGACTTACACTCTCCTTGCTGAAGTTTCTTCATCCATAAAACAAGAATGATAATAGGTAACACTATTCTTAGTAGAGTACTGTAATTGTAATAAGGAATAAATGATAAAAGCCAACACGAAGAGTGCCCTTAGCAGGCACTGATCTAAGCATTTTTATATATCATCTCATTAATTCCTTATGAAAAACTCACAAAGTATGTATTATTACCCTATTTACAGATGAAGAAATCATAGTACGGAGATGTTGAGTGACTTGCCATGTTAAGAAGCCAGGGTTGGCAGATTCACTATTTGAACCCAAACAGTCTGGATTCACTGTCTGTCTTGTAGTCACTTTATTTCTTGATTCTTTCATGGATGATTTTAAGCTTCATAAGTAGGTGAGCTCATAACATGTAAAGTATTTAGAACTTGACATGGATGTCTGGCCCTACTGAAATGCTAGTAAATATTAGCTGCTGCTCCTATGGCTACTCTTTCTGCTACAGTGTTAGAGTTAATCTTCAGAGAATGACTATCAGAAGCTGAAGTGCCTCATATACAGACAACATCTTATATGCATACAGACACAACAGCTTCTCGTCTGTATAGCTGGCACTTTATTAGAGAAGTCTCCATCACAGCAGCTTGTTACTAGTAACATTCTCTGTTTTGTTTTTTATTTACCTGGTTTATTGTTTGTCTGGCTTACTAGATGATGAACTCAGTAAGAGAAGAAAATTTGTCTCTCCCATTTCTGTTTTATACCCAGCAAAGAGCTGGACACGGGTACTCAGTAAATAATTTATGATAAACAAAGGGGGACACAATAGAAATAAGAAGAAAAGAATCTTTGTGTGTGTGTTTGTGTGTAGTCACTTGCAGAGCCTTTCACAAAACCATTGAAATGAGGACACACTGCAGTATTTTTCTATAACCATTAGCAAGATTATAAGCAGGCCTTTCGAATAAAGAATGTGGGCGTAAAAGAATTGTAAGCAGGCACTCTCAGGCCTCCTTAATAGAACCATTGCCTTTCTCCCTGAATCTCCTACCTGCTTGTCTCAAGAGAAGCATAAGGAGGCAAATATATTTCCGAGAGCCACAGCCAAGATGCAGGTCAACTCCAGAAAACTGTAAAATACTTGCTCTGGGAGACTTCTTGGTTTGGAGGAAAAATATTTGAATTCAGTGATGAAATTTTTCTTCTTTCAAAAAAATGTTAATATATCATGCAGAATAATATAGCACCTACGTACTTATCCTTACAGACTTACATGTCTTATTCCTACTAGTGAGTTAATACCATCAGATAATTTTCTCCCCTTTAGGTTCTCAGCAAGAATAAGCTATAAGGAGTATTGCTATGTCTGTTTCAATATCTAAGACTAGACGCTAGTTTTCAAAGTTTCAGATAACAGATACATAATATAAAGAACATGAAGGGGGAATATTAAAAGAGGATGAAAACGGTGATTTATTAGTGGAAGTTATTTTCTTATATGGAGACTTTTGGAGAAAGGAGCACAGAAAAAAGGTATAAAACCTTCTCAAATGCCAAGTTTTTGGTCTGAAGTAATTTCTTGGTAATGATTTTCACCTAAAAATGTTTTTGCAATCCAATTTATAAATTTAGTACTGTGTCCTTTTTAGATGATTGAAAGAGTTACTGTTAGTCTTATCATATATACTTTATCACATATGCATAATTTAATTACCACTGAATGTATCATGTAAAAAGCCATACACTGGAGCTAAGATGCATAAGCCATGGTTCTAATCCCCAAAGATGTCACCGTGCTGCTATATAATGCAGAAATGATGGTGTTATTTGTCAATGAAACTGATGCTCTTACATGCTTTACATTTTGTTTACCAGAAATATTTACTCAATTTTGATTTAGTTCAGCTGATTACATTAAATAAATCAGTATAACATAATACATGGATGTCCACTTGAATAGTGTGGAGAATTGTTCACTGCCTCTAATAGCTATGTGTTTATGGTTTTAGTCAGCAAAAAGATCGCCTTTTTATCATAGGAAAATTGTAATATGAATAATTTATTTTAATTCAGAGGGGAAATTTGGTGGAATCATGTGATGAAAAGGAAAGAATGCTAGGGATGGAACTTTAATAGTATCTCTGTGGTTAGAGTAAGAGCAGTGAAGACTACTTGAAACAGAGACTTGATAATTATTACACTTTCAATTCCAACCCAAGTCTCTTTCTCTATTAAATCAAATTAAATACTTATTGCCTTTTTAAAATGGACTTTTTTCTCATCTTAAAATATTTAATAAAGCAATACTTTTTTAATATACTTACATAGTCTTTATATTATATATTCTAATGGTTATGCTTTTTTATGCTACAGTTCATAGAAATTTAGGTTTAGTAATGCAAAAACATATATTATCATCAATTTTTTAAAAAATCTAATCATTGTTATATCATAAAAATATTGAAAAAATATGAATGCAAATTCAGTCAACATGTTTTTATAATATTTTATACTGCAAGGTGACTTACAGGCTTCTGCTCCTTCTTACATTCAAATTAATTCTATTTAATTCAAAACTCCTTTTTTAAATACATGAACTACATGTATTCAGTTTTGCCAACATTAAATAAAACTTTTGTGTGCTTTAATGAGACATCCTCTTTATGCAATATCCTTACTAGGTATAATTATTTGCAAATAGTCCTTAGCCCACAATTTGTATGGTAAACAGAATTTGAAAGGAATATTCTTTGAAAGGAATGATGGAGTTAATTAAAAATACCTTAGATATTTTCAAAAGTGAATGTCTACAGCATAGAAATACCTATGGAAAAAGGACTAGATTTATTTATTTTTAACTGCTAATGTAATACTTTGAATTACGGCAAAAATAAGAGTTGTGATAAGACACAGAGAATGAAATTAGCATTGTTTTGTACAGCTGTGTCTTGCCTTAGAGAATAAGTCTATTCTTGAAAATGTAGAAAATGATTTTTAAAAATCAAGTCTTAAGTTTAGACATATTAACAAAACCCACTTTTAAAAGAAAATGTGTTTGCGTGCATCTTTGTGTGTGTGTATTTTTTCTCAGAGCTTTGCATCTAGTCAGGAGAGGTGTACAAGAGCTTTAGGGGAAAGAAAAACTATAAAGTCTTTCTATGTGTATTCAAATCACAATTTCCAAATTCTACTCTCAAAAGAGTTTTTATATGGCTCATGTGTGAAAGCACTTGCATGCTTACACTAACACAGAAGTGACAAGCCACCTACATGGTAAGGATGGTATGGGGAGAGGTTTTTCATAGAATTTCAATATCTAGATTACAAGCTTCATGAGGACGTGTACTAATACAAGCTTCTTGTATTAGGTTTTGATCCTTGAAATGTCCTAAGCCTTTAGAACACTATGTCATACAGAGTGAGCACTCAATATATTCCGTATACTCAAAGTATTTTTGTTGAATGAATGAATGGGGCAATTTGTAAATGATCACAATGCTTGTTTTAGATTATAAAAAGGAGACTGTAGGCAGTTTTTAAGTTACTGTCTGAGGCAGGTGGTGGCAATAACCTAATGCGTAGATTCCTAAGGCAGGGATATTGTCCTTCATTAAATTATTTTACTGTTAAGTGTTTAATCAGTGATAAAAGTAAACATCTAACCAAGGTGACTTACACTAAAAGATAAGTTCCAGGCAAATATCTTATATTCTTATATTCTATATACCTCCTTTCTTAAACCATTCTATGATTTACAAAGCATTTCTACATGAGCTAGATACATAAGGTAATAGCAATTTTCATTATGATGATTTATTTGTCCATCAGTAAATATTTAGGAAATGCTTTCCTTCAGGAGTCTGCTAAGTAGTGGGAATAAAATTGTGTGCACATGACTGTCAAGGTCTCTGTCCCATGTTCCCTCTTGTGACAGACACAAATAAAAACAAGTAAACATATACATTAGCAAAGTAAATTTGTCTAACGTTAATTGCTTTGAACAAAATAAATGGAGATTGAGAGTCTGGGGATTGAATGACTCTGCAGTCACAGTGATCAGGGGAGGCACTTTTGAGGAGGTAACCTTTAAGCTGAGACCTGGAAATTACATGTTCAGCTTAAAAAGTGACTTCCCCATTTGGATAGGGTCTAAAATGTCTCCAAAGGCACATGCATATGCCATTGGAAGGGAGGAAGGAGAGAAGTTCCTACAGCTGTGATGTACAAAAATCAGGAGAGTTGGAAATGCTTGCATCCAGTAGTTAATTCCTATTTACCGTAATGAAAACATTCCTATGATGTCAAATAGTTATGATGAGGCACCCATATTTTTTATATTGTTCAACCAATGTTTGGGATGTTAAAAGAACTGCCTAATATAAACAGATAGAATTCTGATAATACCCAAAGTGCAGTATGATTTTTATATCAAATTTTGACTATATTTCTATTTTTTATTTGATTTCTTTATTTTATACATGTTTCCCAGGATAGCCCACTGGTCTTACAGTCTGACAGGAATGTAACAGTGAATGCAAGAAATCACATGGGGCAGTTAACTGGACAGCTGACAGTAGGTGAGTGCTTTGGGGTAAAGATTGCTCTTACCATCTTACTCCATTTAAAACTCTGTGGTTGTTTAAACTGGGAAAAGCAAAAGCATATTATTTATCTGATATTTAACTGGACATCCATCACAGCCCAGTCAGCCTACACATGATTTGATTTCTCATAGGCTAGTTATGAATTCCTCTATTTGGAAATTTGTAGTCTCATCAATGTGTTACTGTGAGACTTAATTACATATATTTTGTAGTTATTCTTCTTGAATTATGAAATACGCCATTTTCCTAACAAATATTTCCCTAATATATGTTAAAGTATAGTAAACAGTCTTAAACAAACGTGATACAA